TTTTAAAAAAATAATTTATTAAGAATTTCATACATGCATATAAGGTGTTTTGATCAAATCCGTGCCCACTCCCTCCCCTCCAACTCCTCCCATATCTCCCCATCACTTTTTTCTGATAACTTTATGTACTCTTTCTTCATCTTTTATTTTTTTATTGGGCCTTTGGCTACTCTAACATTCCCCCCTTTGAAGTGGTTACCCTTAAATCTTTTAAGGATTAGATCAAAGCTCCCAAATATTTTTGACATGTTTGGCCTTTGGAATGGAGTATGTTGCTAAGAGGCCCAAGGACATTTCGAGTTTTAGCCAAGAAGCTGGCTACTTTCCTTTGGGGTCTTTTTACCCTAACTGCCTCGCCAGGTCCTACCTCCTATTCTTATCACACCATCCTCTGAAGAGGTTACCCAACTTGCAGTTAGGGAATCAGGGCACAGACCACTCTGGCTTCTTCCATGCTGAACAGGGTCGCAATTGGAATACCCCTTCAGTGGATCTATCTAAAACACTCCCAAATTGTATAACTCTTATCTATAAGGGGAAAAGAAAGTCCTTGACTGGTAAATAGGAGATGTGAAGGAGAAGTAAAGGCAAGAGTAATTAGCATTACAAGTTCTAGACAGGGAACTAGAAAAAAGTCAGAACAGTGCAATTCTCAAATGTTCACATGAGAGTCCTTTGGAATTTTTTGACAAGGGCTTCCAAAAGCATCCCTCTATTGGGTTCCTCCATTTTTCTTTTGTCTTCCAAGGCTGGACTAGAGAGTAATAGATTCAGGATTTGCTTTCAGATATTTTGATAGCTGTTGGAGTGGATAGAATCAATGTCAGTTCCCTCTCAAAGGCTTCTAGATAGGGTGAGAAAACAAATTTATCCACCATTTTAGAACAATAGTGGGCTGTCTCCCTTACCTACAGGTATGCACTATAGAATTGCAGACCAAGATTTGAAGTCTTACCTCTGAGCAGCACTTTCTGATTAGGAACAAAACCATCAATGATAAATAATTGCCTAAATAACTATTTATGAGCCTGGAGAGATGGCTCAGGAGTTAAGAGCACTGACTGCCCTTGCAGAAGACCCGGGTTTGATTCCCAACACCCACATGGCAGCTACAAACTGTCCTTAACTCCAGTTCCAGGGGAATCAGAAGCTCTCTTCTGACCTCTGTGGTATTGCATGACATGGGTGCACTCACATACATGCAGGCAATACACTCATATACATAAAATAAAATATTTAAAATAAAAAAAAAAACTGTATGAACTTAAGCCTAATGTCTGGGAAGTATAATCCCTTGAACTCTTAAAGAAATATACTCATGACTTCACTCTTTTGTTATACTTTCCTTTGGGGTGTTTAAGACCATACAGTTGGCCTAAATTAATCAATTTATTTTTACACTTAAGGTCGTTTGAGGATTTGTCCCTCAGGGGTCACACGGGCTTAGGAAGAGCCCCTGGCTCCTTTATTTTATCAGTTCCATCTATGTGAAGATAAGTCAAAGGTCCTGCTTGACCATGTCTGCCTTCACTTGGAAGCATGGAAGAGATGTTTGACTCTAGGCTGCAGTGTCTTTGCCAGTAAGATGCATTTCTTGGAAATAACAGTCTTAGCTCAGATTTACTAATTCCTGTAATTTTTTGGTTGTCTTTCTGGTTAGTTGGATTATTGTTCTCCTTTCTTCTTTCCATCACAGTCACTGAGCATAGTTCTTCTCAACTGTATGTGTACCCCTAGAAAAACTTATGCTAAATCTGATGTTCATCTTCTTATCTAGGAGTCATAAGAACAGCTAAGGGTGTTGCTTCTTTCTTCTACACTGTGACAGAGGGGTAGCACCTCAATACTGGTTCCCCTTAAGAGACATCAGGAAGTGCAAGGGACACTTTTTGATTGTCAAAACAGAGGACATGCTAGTAGTATCCCAAGAATAGAAGTCAAGGACATTGCTGGACATCCTACAAGGCACAGGACAACTTTTCCCTTCCCACCACAAAGACTTTTATCTAACCAAAATGTCAACAGTAGCAATATCATAATTTCCTCTCCCACTCTGAAAAATCACCATTCTTATATTTATAATTTTGTATTTATTCAGAAATTAAAGTAGCTTCAGGCCCCACAGAACCTAGATCTGGAAGGAAAAGACACTGTAGAGAAGAGAGAGAGGTGCATGTGTCCTGTGGCCAAAGCCAATGCTAAAGAGAAGAAAAAAGAACAAAACAAAGGAACACTACTGAAAGCTCTAAGAGAAACACAGCAACTTGCAGACACAAACACATCAGACCTCTCACTAGAAACCCTAAAGGCCAAGAAATAACAAAATGATATATTTAAACTCTGAAAGTAAAAACATGTCAACCAAGATTTCTATACCCAGCACAGATATCTATTAAAGTTGATGAAGAAATCGCAACATTTCAAGACAAGCACTAATTAAGTAATTCATGACTAACAAGTCAGCACTGCAAAAGACACTTGAAGAATCCTAAACACACAGAAGGAAGAAAGACAGTCTTAATGAGAAGAGCACAAGAAAGAATAGATTTCATGAAAGGAATGGATAAACATAGAAAAACTAGGAAGAATCCATCATACCCCACACAGAAAAAATTAATATATTAAGTTGGCTTGAACAATGGCATAATGTAATTTGTGTATTATTACCTTCTTTGGGGACAAACAAAAGGAGCATATACATATACCAAAAGTACACTAAAATCTGAATGATTCATTTCAATAAGGAATATGAGTTTTTCCCTTTATGTTTTCCCAAAATTTTTGTGCTTAACAAGTGCTGCTCTTACGACTGGAAGCAAAATCAGTAACATTTTTCTTTTAAAAAAAAAAAAGGCCTTTAAAAATATTGTTAGCTGTGTGAGAGTAAGTGGGGGTGTCTGTTGTATATGAGTTCAGGGGCACAAGTGCAGGTCAGAGGACAGCTTCTAGGAGTTGGTTCTCTCTGTCCACTGTCCACTGTGGTTTCCAGGGATTGAACTCGGGTGGTCTGGCTTTCAAAGTAAGTGCTTACTCATCCAACATTTTCCTTTTTAAAGGATGGTCAGTCATGACGGACTAGCTGGTTAGAACTCATGGAGTGGCTGACTTGTGGAATCATCCAAGCTCGAGGTCTCATTCTTAACTTTCAGGTTTAGAAACACAGTTGCCTAGTGCTCTAAAAACTGATTGTGGTATGTGGTGCAGCCACTTCTCTGCTCTTAATTCCCATTCTGGCTGCCTATATTCTATACCTGTCTGTAAAACACATTCCTTAATATCTCATCACTTCTCCAAAGATTTGACTCTTCTAAGTTCCAAGGCTTTGCTTTTGTTTCCTTCCCTTCCTTCCCTTTACCTTCCTTCCTTCCTTTTTTTTTCATTTTTTTATTTTTTTGAGACAGGATCTCCTCAGCCTAGAACTTGTCTTCCTGACCAAGTAACCCAGAGCATTGAGAGTTGCAGGCATATGACCTTGCCTGGCAGCTTTTAAAGCTTTTTCAAGTCACTTATAACAAAGCTATTCCAACGAAGCATGGAAGAACAAACAGTACACTGTCCTACGCACTGGGTGCTTTCATTTCTTCCTGTCACTTGAACATTTTACAAATTATTCTTTAATTTGCTTTTTAAAAAATCTCTAGTAACCATGTCCTAGTTTGAGTCTTCATTGCTGACAAAATACTCTGACCAATACCAACTTGAGGAGGAAAGGATTTATTTGGCTTACATCTCCCAGGTCACAGTTCATTAAGAAACCCAAGGTAGAAACTCAGGCAGGAACCTGGAGGCAGGAGCTGAAGCACAGGCCATGGAGGAACACTGCTTACTGGCTTGCTTCTCTGGCCCCTGCTCAGCCTGCTTTCTTTTACAATACAGGTCCACCTGCCCAGGGGTGCCACCACCCATAGTGGACTCCCACATCACTCAACAATCAAGAAGATGCCCCACAGACATGGCCAAAGGCCAGTCCTATGGAGGCAATTCCCCAGTTGAGGCTCCCTCAACCCAGGTGTGTCAAGTTGACAATAAAGCATCCAGCACAAACGATCCTATTGCAACAGCTTTCTAAATGGCATTCCCACTTTCACATTTACACCCTTCAGTCAGTTCTCCACACAGCAAGCAGAATGACTTAAAAGCTTTAAGCAGCTCACATCCCTCTCCTATTTAAACACATTAGGGAGTTCCCATTGCCTGCAGCTCCCCCCCACCACCACCCCAATTCTCTTGCTGGTCAAATTCATCATTGGTTGAGTGAACTGTAGGTCCTGATACATCCTTCTTGAGAGGACTAACTAGATTAATGTGAACACACCGAAGTAGAGACACTCTTAAGCCAGTGTATTCCAGCTTTAGGCTTTTTGGAAACCTCCAGGAAGTTTGAGGGGCGGAATTAAGGAACACTGCAAGATGAAGTCATTTGGTGGCCAACACTGTAATCCAGAACTGGGGAAGCAGAGGCAGTACAAGACCAACCTGGGCTGCATAGCGAGCTGTAGGCCATCCTGGGCTATACAGGGCGACTACCTCAAAGATAAAAGCAATAGGTCTATCTGTAGCTCAGCGGTGAAGAGCACTGGATGCTCTTACAGAGGACCCTGACTCGGGTCCCAGCACCCACATCGCAACTAACAACCGCTTTCAAGAAAGCAGCACCCAGGTGCCACCCGCACACGAGACAGGCGTGGGAAGCGCCGAAGCGGGTTTCAAAATGCTGAACGCATTCACATATTTCTCTAAAGTTAAGATTTCCCCAAAAACAAAATGCCGAAATGTTCTGAGAAAACGTTCTCAACCGTGCCAGCAACCTTGCGCCAAGGTCCTGGCGCGCCTAGCTAGACGACGAGGGGGGCTGGGCCTAGTCGCCGTAGTTAGTGCGCAGGCGCCATGTGGCTCCAGGGAGGGGTCAGATGTGGGCCAGTTAGCGCGGGAGCGGGCGCGGAGGCTGCTGGGCTGCGGCTGGATGGGAACGGAAGCCGCGGGCCCCGGAGGAAGCCAGGATGGCGTCTCCAAGCAGGAAGACGTCGAGCCCGAGTCCCCAGGCTTCCAAGCGGACTCTCCCGAGAGACGCTTCCTCCGAGGTCCCGAGGAAGAGAAAGAACTCCAACCTGTTGCCTTCGCAGCCCACCGGTCCTTTTGTGGAGGGGTCCATTGTTCGTATCACGATGCAGAACTTCCTGTGAGTACCGGGAGGCCGCGCTGGGCGGGAGCGGGCGGCCCAGAGACGGAGGTGGGCCGGGCGTGGGGGTGTGCCTGGCGGTGCTGAATTCGTGCCAGGCGCTCGGTGAGGACCCTGTCTAGGCCGCGGAGACTGGTGTGTGGCCTGTGGATGTGTCGTCCGTTGCTTTATTCAGCTCTCCAGTGGTATTTGAAGACGTCTGATGGCGGTCAGTGGGCCGACCGAGGGACTAGGTCAATGCCCACCGTCCGTAGGGGACGTGTTCTACACCCCACGAAAGCATCGGCCTTGGGAACTCAGGAGGCAACAGTTAGATCGGAGTGGCGGTGATACAGTGGCAGATTTTTGAAAGTGTAGGTATTTTCCGAATGGGCAGATACGATGATAATGGTTGTCGATTGGAGAATAGAATGTTCCAAAAAAACACCGAATTCTCAGTTGTACGTGGCCTGCATACCTGGCCACTTCAAATCCCGCCGCCTTCCCTGCTTCACACGGCAGCTAGTTACTGTAGAATCTAAATATGTTATTAATATCATTATCTGTTTAGCGTCTTATAGTTCACATTTTCAAGGCCTTTTTGTGAAATGTAAATTTGAGCAAGTTACAGAACTGTAGCAACAGTGCTACTTTTTCCTCAAGCACTTTCATACACCAAGTTCAACTAAATTCTGTCTCTTCATTTCAGTCTTACCACCATTGATGATACATGCTCAGAGAGGTTACTTTTGTCCAGGTTTATATAGATTCAAATAGCTGAGTTGCTATTGAATCTAGATTAGGAAAGGTAAATGTAGTTGAATGAGGTTTCTGCTACAATAACTTACCTGTCACTGGTTTCATAGGAGGTGGAAAGGTTGAAATAGCTAATTTCATCCACACCTATGAGTAAGAGCTTTGTATAGAAAATATCAGAGTCTGAAAAGAAAGGAAAATCATTGCACAAAGGAACTACCAGAATGCAAATTTGTAGTATTTAGCAAGTGACCAGTTACGTGGTTGGAGGGCAGTAATCACTGTTTCTGTGTTTACTAAGAACTTCCAGCTTCATCCTTTTGGCAGGTAGGAACCTGATGGCAGTGTGGAAGATGACGGAAATACAGGATAAACACAATAGGAGCAGAAAGGAGAGATATGACAGACTCTGGCTGCAGGTTGTGATGGATGAGAAAGGGGAGTGCAGTATTTTCTTCACAAGTCTCTGCTTGGCTAAATGGTCACACCATACTCAGAAGAGGGAGTAGTTGGGGAGAATGAGTAATAAATACAATTGAGAGCTTATGTCTTGAACTTTCCTGTGCAATATGTAAGAGGTATGTTCCACGAGTAGAGTTTATAAAGGCTCAGGAAAATGAATAAATCAGAAATTTGGATTCATGAATATAGTTGTTGATGATGCAGAAATGGTCGTAATTGCCCAAAAGGAATATAAATCAGAGGACTAGAAAGCCTGCATGTAAAGGTGAGAGAGAAGAGATGCTCATAGAGATTCAGCTGTTTAGGAAGGTAAGATGAGAACCATGGGAGACCATTATCAGAGAAGCTAAGTAAAAAGGGTATTTCAGAAATACCGTCAGAACTCAGATCTTGAAAGTACCGTACTACAAATATAGGAAATTGGGAAATTTTTGACCCTTTGACAAAACAGTGCAAAAGAAACCTTTGTAGACCAAGGAAGAATGAAGAAGAAAGTGTGCGTATGAATAGCTGAAAGAAAAGGTGGCTGTGACATACAGAGCATGCTCCAATTCTGTCATTATTTTACTGAGAGGCTATGACATACAGAGCCAGGTTCTATTCTGCCATTATTTTAATAATGAAAGGATTTTAGATTTTAGGAGAAGTAGAGAGGAAGGACGTAGTAAGCAAGTAGGAAACATAGGCTCAGAGAATTCACATGGCCTAGAAAGTAGAGGGGGTGCTATGAGTAAGCCAAGTTAAATGGAGTTGCAGTGAAAGGAGCGATTTCTAGGCTAAAGGAAGAAAGTTAAGAAATGGAAAGAAACAAATTTTAGGTGAAATTTAGAAGTCTAAGCAGAGAATAGAAAAGATAGGAAGTGGAAAAGGATGAAGCTAGGGATGAGTTACAAAAGGTTCTTTTTTTTCTTTTACCTTTTCTTAACAAGTGATATCACATTTGTGTGTGTACCAATATACTTGTCACTTGCATTTATTTTTATTACCACCTGGCCTTTCAAAATGTTTATGTATTAGAGTCGGTGTGCTTGGTTAAATTATTTATGCATTTGGCAGGCTAGAAGCACTCCAAGCACTTATTCTTGGGGGATTAGTTAGCCGCTGTACCCGAGCACTAAAAAGTTAGAGAAGGAATGTTATTTATGAATTCTAATTTAGGATATCAAAAGACAAGTTCTAGTGCTTCCTATCTTGCCAGAGCTGTCCTCAGCAAATAATGAGAATTCGATGCCAATTGTGCAGGTAGTTAGAACACTAAGCATGGTATGAGTAAATGCTCTAAATATGTTTGATCATGATGCATTCTTGCCTTCACAGAGGAACAAAGATTATTTTAACATGACTGAACAATAGGTTCTCTAATCTTGCAGCATACTAAAGGAAATGAATGTTTTTAAAAGATAAAATGAAGCCGTTGGGTTGACACATACATTGGGCCAATATACAGTTTCATAATTTGAATGAGAATAATTGGATTGGATTGATTTAATATTAAAATATGAGAAGTAACTACTAAGCATTTTAATTCAAGAGAAATGTAACATAATACCCGATTAGGGAGGGAAAAGTCATGGCTTTTTGTATAAATTTCTAAAATTATTTTACTTGTGCAGTAGCTTTGATATAGTCTCCCATGAAATTTAAATTTTGAAAAGAGGATAGATTGTGTCAAACTTCTCATTTTTTTTCTACAAGCTTGCTTTCTTTCTTTCTTTCTTTCTTTCTTTCTTTCTTTCTTTCTTTCTTTCTTTCTTTCTTTCTTTAAGACAGGGTATAGTTCTAGAGTTGAGTGCTGTGAGTAAGCCAAGTTAAATGGAGTTGCAGGGAAAGAAGAAATTTCTAGGTTAAAGGAAGAAAGTTAATCAAGAAATGTAAAGAAACAATAGCTGGTCTGGAACTCACAATGAAGACCAGGCTATCTTTGAACTTGAACTTGAGATCGTCCTTTCCATGCTTGGATTACAAATGTATCTCATCATGAACAGCCCTGGTGTTCTTATTTTTACATATACTTTTTATCACTTTTTCGTTTCCTTCATTGATAGATTATCCCTCTATAAGTTGTTTATTAAAAACCTATATGGTAGGGCTAGAGAAATGGCTCAATAGTTAAGAGCATTTGCTACTGTTGCAGAGGACCTGGGTTCAGTTCCCAACACCCACATGGTGGTTCACAACTCTCTGTTCACAACAAACTCTGCTTCCAGAGGATCTAGTACCCTCTTCTAGACTCTGCAGGTACTATATCCATGTGGTCCACATCCACACATGTAGGCAAAATACTCATACACATAAAATCAAAATAAATCTTTAAAAAGTAACAACTATGGGACTAGGAATGCAGTTCAGTGGTAAAGCACTTGCCTAGCATACAGGAGGCCCTGGGTTGAATCTTGAGTTCCTCACCCCACAGAATCTATAATGTTAGATTCATAAGGTTAACTGGCTTTTAAATGAATTTGAGGAGGGTGATGGATAGTGATCTTGTAAAGCAGCAAAAAGTACTATTTAAAGAAAGGATTTTTCTCTTATCTCTGTTTAATTCACCTTTTTATAATTCAGAACATATGATTTCTGTGAAGTATCTCCTGGACCCCATCTGAATATGATTATTGGCGCCAATGGAACAGGGAAGTCAAGCATAGTGTGTGCCATTTGCCTTGGACTAGCAGGCAAACCTGCTTTCATGGGACGGGCAGATAAGGTAAATTAATATAATTTTTTTTCATATTTTATTATTTTTATTTTATGTGAATGAGTGTATTGCCTGCATGCAAGTGCACCTGTGTTGTGCAAAGCCCATGGAGGTCAGAGGTGGTATCAGAATCCTTGGAACTGGAGTCATGAACAGTTGTTAACCACCATGTGGGTGCTTGGATTCAAACCCGGGTCCTCTGCAAGAGCAGTCAGTGCTCTTAACCATTGAGCCATCTCTACAGCTCCTGTAGTATTTGATTATAAGAAGTAAATTTGGCAGGTAATGAAGCTAGAAGACTTTCATTGTTCTAGAAATATTTTGTACCAGTAGCTAGAGATTCTCCAAGTGCTTAATATCTGACATAGTAAATAGAAATTATAATTTTGGCTTAAAGTGATCTGAGTTAATACTGTTTCAGAAACTGGGCAGAAACAAATATAAATCTTTTAAAAGAAAATACTTTTAATCCAATTCTGAAAAGAATTTTAATATTAATTTTGAAGAAATTCATGAATTAATATCTAAAAAAAATCACAAAACCTGGGAGAGTGCCTAGAGAGAGAGCTCAGTAGTTAAAGAGCACCTATTGTTTTCAGAGGACTTGAGTTCAAGTCCCAGCACCTATTTCATATTGCAAATGGCTGTAACTCCAGTTTCAGAGGATCCAGCACCCTCATCTGGCCTCTATGGGCACCCACACACATGTGTACAGACACATACACACAGAAATAAATAATTATTTTTAGACAGGGTCTTCCTGTAGCCCCAACAGGTCTTGAACTCGCTATGTGAGCCAGGCTGGCTTCAGTCCCGCAGATATATCTGCTTCTGCCTCTCAAGTGTTGGAATTAAAGGCATGCACCATCATGCCCAGCTAAAAATAAATCTTAAAAAAAAAACCCGGAAAATCAGTCACTTAAAATAGGAGCTCAGGGGGCTGGAGAGATAGCTCAGCATTTAAGAGCACTTGCTGCTCTTATAGAGAACTCAGGTTTGACTCCTAGCACCTATGTGGTGGCTAACAACTATCTCTAACTCCATTTCCAGGGAATTTGACACTCTCTGGCCTGTGGTGCACCTACATACATATGCAGGCAAAATACTCATACATATAAAATAAACAAATCAAAAGAATTTAAATATGAGCATACAAAAACAGCAGATTTACAATCAGATCTGTAAAGCTTGAAGATACAGAATATAAATTAAATATTTAATTCATTTCATTTTTAATTTAAGAAATGAAGGAAAATTGTAAATAATAACATAAAATGAGAAGGCAGCCAGGTAAATGTGGAAAAGAATTAGAATTTAAAGAAATGAAAAATGTGCTATTTGAGGAGAGAAATTTGATGGACAGTTGAAGACCTCCAAGCTTGTACATTTGAAAAGAAAATTTGTGTACTAAAATACTGGAGAGAAGTTTCTTAAAATGCAATATAGAAATAGAAAAAGAAGTATGAAGTCAATGTTTAGCATAGATAAGGGAAGATAATTCATTATACATCTAATTATGGGGGTATTTTACAAATTTTTATTTATTAGTTTGCGTGTGTAATGGCAGGGATGTTCGTGCCATGGTGTACATGTGGAGGTCTTTTTTTAACAAAAAGTCAGTTCTCTCCTTCCGCTTTTACCTAGGTTCTGGAGGTCAGACTCAGGTTGTCAGGCTTTACAAGTGCTTTGACCCACTGAGTTATCTTGACAGCTCCTAATTACATCTTTCTTTAAAAAATTATATCATATTTTTTATGTGTATATGTCTGTGTGTGTGTGTATGCTTGTGAATGCAGGTACCCATGAGGGTCACAAAAGAGCATTGGATCCCCTGGAGCTGTTGGTTATGAGCTGCCCTGTATAGAGGCTATTTTAAAATATTTATTATTTTAATTTTATGTGTATGCGTGTATTGCCTGTGTGTACATAAGTGCACCCATTTCTAACACCCACATGAAGGCTGGGAACCATCTATAACTCCAGTTCCAGGCAATCTGAAGCCCTCTTTTGACCTCTGTGGGCATTGCATGCATGTGATGTGCCTACATATATGCAGGCAAAACACTCATACACATAAAAGACAAGTAAATAAAAATAAACTGGTTTTAACTGGCATAGGGGTGCACACCAATAATCCCAGCATTTGGGAGGCAGGAGAACCACAAAGTCCAGTGTAGCCTAGACTGTTGAAAATTCAAGACCAGCTTGAGCTATAATCAAGGCCTTGTCTCAAAACATTAAGGACCAAGGGACGTAGCTGAATTTCAGTGTACTTTCCTAGTATGTTCAAAACCCAAGGTTTGGGCCCCAGTGCTTAAAACAAAACCTGTACAGGTTTCAAATTTAGATCTTGATCAGACTTTTGGAAAATGATGTGGCATTGTTTAGTAAATTTATATACATGTACCCAGTTACTCAGAAATTCTATGACTGGCTGCTCTAGTTAGCTCTCATACTTACATACTTAAAGTAGGTGAATTACAAAAATATTTGTGGCAGTGTTTGTAATGCTAATATAGTCAAATATGTAGGATATTAAATAATGGTGAAATAAGCCATGGTTCATTTGTTAAATCTCAGAAATACAATGTTAAGTGAAAATGCAATCTTGGAAAAATGCATGCCATGACTGACAAAATAGTAAAAATAAGATAACATTTAATGTTTAGGTATATAGATACATGTATTAAAACTGAAGAAAACTAAAAGAGATCAATAAATCAGCTTAGAGATTGCATTTGTTGATGTGAGAGAAGGATGCAGTTGGGCTAAGTTATGCAAAGACATTAATACTTTGATAATATTCACTTTCTTAAAATGGTTATAGATGCATGGTTTTTATTTAAACAGTATATGAAGTTTGTGTTTGCTGTTGGGTATATATTTCATATAAAAACATTTTATGAGGAAAGTCTTGATGTTTGGGTTATTACCACTAGAAGAATATTTTGTTGGCTGGTGAAATGGCTCAGGGGGTGAAGGCTCCCACTGACAACCTGGGTTTGATCTCTGGAACCCACGTGGTAGGGGGAGAAAACTTATGCCAGTTGTCCTCTGACCAGTTTGCCCTCTGACCTCCTCTTGTACACCATGCGGTATTTAATTAAAAATAAAATTAGTAATTAAAAAATGTAGTGTAATTAAAAAATGTTTGTTAAGCCGGGCATGGTGGCACATGCTTGTAGTCCCAGCACTTGGGAGGCAGAGGCAGGCGGATCTCTTTGAGTTCAAGGCCAGCTGGGGCTACAGGGAGACCTGTTTCAAAAAAAAAAAAAATTGTTTAAGACTTAAAATGAAGTTGTAAGAACATTGCAGTATTACCCAAGTGATAGTACCAAATTTTTAACTGGACTTATATTTTAGTGTATCACAAAATTAAATTATAAATTATATTATACATAAAATGTTATAATAATTATATAAAATATTTTCTAAAGGAAATGTTGTAGTAGAGGCATTTATTAGTAATTAGCCTTGTGACTTTGGACAAAAACAAGTTCATATTTTTATGACTGTTGATACATATTTCTTTGTCAGATCATGAATTTGATTCCTCTGCATTGGTCTGTTGGGTTGCATTTCAAATTCTATACAGTTATGAGTTGTGCTGCAGCAGTTTTCAGCAGCCTTCTAGTGCTTTTTTTGTTATAAAGAAACTATGTGTCTCTTCTTACCCTGGAGTGTAGGATTTTTAAGGGAGACCATGGAGTGCAGTGGTTCCTAAACATGGATTGTAGCCTTTCTGTATCCACAGATTTGATATTTTAAGTGACACCCAGGCTCTTAACAAGAATACGTTAATATATTTTTGTTTAAGTGCTAGTACAGAATTTTAACAAGCATATTCTAAGCCATCTGTGTAGCTATTTCATAATAAAAACTGGTTTATGTTTTTCTTCCTTCTTACCGGACCCAAATATTTTAACTGCTGACAGCTAATGCAACATTTGGGACCTTCAGAGATGTCATTGTTTTATCTATGAGATAAATAAGTTAAATCATCTTGCCAAGGCCAAATAGCTTGTGTATAACAGAGTTATGATTTGAATCTGTAGAAGAGAAAGTAAAAGACAGAACTCTCAGGTTATAAGAACAGGTGTTTTCCATCTTTCTGAGCCTTAGTTTCCTCATTTATAAAATGAATATAGTATATAGATCAGAGTTACCAATTAATATTGAATTTGGAAAACTTGTAAATTGCTTATCATAGCAGCATATAATAAGTGTTAGTTGTGGTTTGAATCGTTATCACTGTCATTACCAATATTAAAAAGATTGTTATTTGCAAGGCTTTGGGTTTTTTGTTTGTTTGTTTTTTGAGACAGGGTCTCATGTAGCCCTGATTGGTCTAGTACTTATTATGTAGCTGAGAATGACCTTGAACTTCTGATCCTTTTGACTCCACCTCCCAAGTGCTGGCTGGGATTATAGGTATGCATCACCTCAACATTTCTATCACTTAGAGTATTTATTACCTATATAGCTGAAACTGAAGATCTAATTTGATGTTTTTAAGGCCCACAGTCTATTTGCATGCCTAATGTAAATTGTAATTACATTACTCTTCTTTTTTAATGGTACCTGATGCCTTAAACATATTTATTTTCATTTTATGTGTATGAGTGTATTGCCTGCATGTATGTCAGTGCCATGTAGGTGCTGGGAATCAAACCTGGGGTCCTCTGCAAGAGCAGTCAGTGCTCTTAACCACTGAGTTGTCTCTCCAGCCCCCCTGATGCCTTTTCTGTCTTAAAACAGAATAGGTACTATTAAAGTGGTTGTTAATATTTCATCTATGTACCTCTGTATAAGTTACCTGTGGTTATAGATTTGGTATAGTGCTTTGTGGTTGCACTATAGTACATAGGCCCCAGAGCCAGATTACCCAGGCTCACATTCCTTTTCTAGCACTTACTGCTTTGTCTCCAGCTTTGTAAGTCTTAACTACCTGGCATCAAAGTGACCCATAATTTTAACTACTGTTATTATTGTATTGAGAGAGAAGAGTAGAGGAACCCAAACCTGTATCTTCTAGAAAGTGGTAGGAATGGACATTCAGTTAGTTACTGAAAATAGTGATTTTCAGTAACTTTTTTTTTTTTTGCTAAATAATAATGATTATGCTAAATAATAATGACTTTGCTAGATCTCTGGTTATTCACCCAGAAATACTGTTAACACAACTCACTTTTTCTTTTTCACACCTTAGGTTGGATTTTTTGTGAAGAGAGGATGTTCCAAAGGTGTGGTTGAAATTGAATTGTAAGTGTTAAAGCTGACAAAACAACCGTTTTCTGTATAATTTTTTAGTTTGTATTTATGCTTTCCTGAATGACTTTGGAAAAACTATTAATGTTTTATAGCAAATACAGGAAATATTTAAGGAAGATTTTATCCACGCAAGTAAACACGTTTTAATGAGTCTTTCAAAACTTTTAAAAATATATATATAAGGGCCGGGCGTGGTGGCACACACCTTTGGTCTCAGCACTCGGGAGGCAGAGGCAGGCAGATCTCTGTGAGTTTGAGGCCAGCCGGGTCTACATAGTGAGTTCCAGGCCAGCTGGGGTTAGGGAGACTTTGTCTCAAAAAGACCAAAAAAATATATGTCTGTGTGTGTGTGTGTGTGTGTGTGTGTGTGTGTGTGTGTGTGTGTGTATGAAAAGTTCTCAAGGAAATTTAAGTTTATGGAAGGTAATGAAACAAAAATATTCCACTGATAAATAGGAATTTGTAGTCAGGCATGGTGGTACACATCTATAATCCCATACTTAGGAGGTAGAGGTAGGAGAATCAGGAGTTCAGAGTTATTCCCAATAGATAGCAAGTTCAAGGCCAGCCTAGACTACATGAAACCCTGTCTCAAACAAGCACACACCTCCCAACACACACACACACACTCACAGACACACATATACACACAAATTTCTGTCTTTTCATAAATTTAAATATCTGTTGCTTTTTGTTGGTTTTGAAAGTAATTCTTTTAAAAAAATATTTATTATTTTTATGTATTTGAGTATATTGCCTGTATATACATAAATGTACCTGTGTTGTACAATGCCCATGGAGGTCGGAAGAGGACATCAGATCCCCTGAAACTGGAATTTAGGATGGTTGTTAGCTGCCATGTGGGTACTGGGAATCAAACCCGGGATCTCCGCAAGAGCAGCTAGTACTCTTAACACCTCCGCCATCTCCAGCCCATGAAAGTGATTCTTAAGTTTAGCTTAGTGGTAGACAGCTTGCCTGGTGTGCTTGAGGCCTTGGGTTTGATCCCCATTTCTGTACATATACACAGAAATTTGATGCCTACTTACTTGTTATAAAATATAGACTTAAGTAGAAGTGTATAAATTTGAAAACAAAAGTCTTAGCACATTCTACTTCTAGGAATAATCACTGTTAACAGTTTGGTGAGTCTTGTACATGGAAATACCACTTTTCATTCTGTTATGGTATTGATAATTCGCCATGATATCCCACTTTGATGGATATTCTCAGCTGACTATTCTTATTTTTGTTTGCTTGCTGATTTATTTTTTGAGACAAGGGTCCCTTTATGTAGCCTAGACTGACCTTCCAACTCCCAAATCTCCTGCCCCAGCACTCGGGAGGCATGTTATACCACTTCTTACTCGTTAATGATCCTTCTTAGTAGCTGTTTCTTTGTTTTTTTCTCTCTTTTGGGTTTTTGAGACAGTCTCATTCTGTAGCCTGGGCCTAGAAAAGAACTATGCTGCTTGGGCTGACTTCAAACTCTTAACCATCTTGTCTCAGCTTCCCAAGTGCTGGCATTATAGGCACGAGCCATTATGCCTACCTGGCTTGACAGCTTGTCTTTCCTTTTCTTCCTTCCCTCCCTCTACTCCTCTATCCACCTTTCCCCTTACCCCTTCTCCCCTTCTCACTTTCCTCCCTCTCTCCTCTCTCCTCCCTCATAATTACTCCTTCCTTTCCCCTCCTCCTCTTCCTCTGTATATCCTAGGCTGGTATGGAACTTACATAGCAAAGGATAACCTTGAACTTCTGTTCCTCCTGCCTCCACCTCCAGACTGGTGATATAGGCATGTGTTGGGATTATAGGCATGTGCCATCATGCCAGTTATATGCAGTGCTGGACATCAAGGGCTCTATAAAGCATTCTAGGCAAGCACTCTTTAGTGGCTATTTCTAATGTGTTAGAATTGATATTTGTGATGAAACCACTTGACCGTCATTACTGTATATTCTTTTAGTCTTTTTACACATTAGGTAAGTTTTAGGAAGTGTTGTTTTGAGAATGCTTATGGGAAGTTGTAGAATATTTGCACTAATAAAATTCTTGTCTTCTGATAGTTCTGTCAGTTTATGGGCTGTGGATGACAAATACACATAGAAATAAAATAAACATAACCCATAGCTCAGTGGTAGAGTACTTAGTTAGCATACATAAGGCCCTGGTTCAATCCCCAGCACTACATACACAAATGATAATTATACCCAACTTTTAAAAATAAAATGATAGAAGCCGATTGAAGGATTAAAAAACTGAATAGAGAAGTATATTTTCCTAGAAAACCAATCCTTCCCAGATTATTGAATGTTTAAATAATATTCCAGTGTCTCAGCAGGTAAGTTTACAAGTTGATAATGAGATTCATCATCAGAACCCAAGAAAAATTTTAACATGTAGAATTATGATTAATAAGAATTTATGTTATCAGGTGTTAACCTCACTATACTGCTGTTGATATAAAATGCTATGCTGGGGGCTGGAGAGATGGCTCAGCAATTACGAGCACTGACTATTCTTGCAGAAGGCCCAGGTTCGAATCCCAGCACCCACATGGCAGCTAACAACCATCCATAACTGTGTTCCAGGGGATCTGACACCCTCTTCTGTTCTCCACAGACATTGCACAACACAGGTGCACTTACATGCAGGCAATACACTCATACACATAAAATAAAAAAATTAAAAAACAAAATGGTATACTGTTGGAACAGAAGATGAGAGCAGTAGACTGTAGGAACTTGGATCTGAAAGTGTATGATAATACATCATAAAGGTGGCTTATTAAATTGGCATGTTATGAGATAAGAAAAGCCAAATTTTTATTCTCTCACATTGAACATAGGACTTCTGATGCCAGATATGTGAAGATTTTCCCCCACACCTTCCAATTCAGTTCATTTCTGACACTGACTAGTGAGCCCACAGGTTAAGGGCTCAGTCTCACAAGACTCCCTCTCTTCTAAGTCAGAGACCATATGTGAGTTTCAGATTGTGACCTGTCTCAGACCCCCTTCCTTGTTTTATTTGCTAGGATAGCTCATGGGCAATGCTTTACTTAGGCTTAGCAATTTATTAGGAAAGGCTACTACAGAAGATACAGACAAATAGCCAAGAGAAGAAATAAATATGGCTGCTAGTGTGATGGTGAACACTTGTAATCCCAGGGTGTGGGTGGTAGAGGCAGGAGGATTGCCACAAGTTCTAGACCAACCTTGGAAGAAACAAAATTAAAGAAAAACATCATTAACAAAATGTGGAAGGGTCTGAGCCTAGAGCTTCTGTGTTTATGGATTTGGGACATATTACCCTCCCAGCACAGAGATATGTTTACCCAACCAGGAGGTATCTGAACCCTGTTTATGGAACCTGTTTATGTTTATGTTTATAGAAATTTCATCAGTTAGGCATGATTGATAGTAATTCATTCTTAGCCTCCTCTTCCCTTCCTAGAGAGTATGGGGGTGGGTGGTGATATTGACAGATCCTAACTCTTTCATTGTCTTTTTGGTGACTACCCCCTATCAGGAGCCCCATAAGAGTTGCCTCATTAGAACCAAAGGTACTCCTGTCACTAAGGAAATTCCAAGGGATTAGGAATTCTGTTAGGAGTAAGGAGACTAAATCATCTCCATTTCTTTTCTTTTTACTTTACTTTTAGTTTTTTATTTGTTTTTGGTGTGTGTGTAGGGGTGTAAGACAGGGCTTTGCTCAGGCTAGCCTGGAATTCATTGTGTAGCCCAGGTTGGCCTGGAACTTAGGATCCTCCTGCATCAACTTCCCAAAAGCTAGGGTTATAGTCATGTGGTAACATCCCCAGTTGTATTTCTTAGTTGTATTAGTCACCTTTCTGTTAGTAAGATAAATACCATGACTGAATCAATTTATAGAAGGAAGTTTCTTCCTTCCCTAAGAAAGGTTCCAGAAGAATAAGGGTCCATTATGGAGGGGAAGCATGGCAACATGCAACAGGTGTGGCAGCAGGAGCTGGAAACCAAGATCCTACATCTTGAGTCAAACCTGAAGCAAAGAGTGAACTGGAAGTGGGGTAACACTATGAACTCGAAAAGGCTGCCCCAGTGATGCTCTCCTCCAGCAAGGCAACACCTCCTGAAGATTCTGTGTTCTCCCAAAAAGCATGACCGAGGACAAAGTGTTGAAATAACTGAGCTAATAGGAGACAGTTCTCATTCCGACCACCACATTATATTGCAGTACTACGGGAATTGAGGCAGTTGGTTTTTGTCATTGTTTTATTGTGTTTTTGCAGTACTAAGGATCAAACCTAGAGTTTTTCACATGCTAGCAAGCACTCTTACCACTGAGCAATATCCCACTAGAGCTCTCTGTGTAATTATCTTCTTTTTAAAAAATATTTTATTTTTTGATTTATGTGTATGAGTGTATTGCTTGCATGTGTATAAGTGCACCCATACTGTGCAATGGAAGAGGGCGTTGGAATCCCCTGAAACTGGAGTTTCAGTTGCTAGCTACCATGTGGGTACTAGGAACCAAACCCGGGTCCTCTGTAAGAGCAGCCGGTGCTCTTAACCACTGAGCCATCTCTCCAGCCCCCTGGCCTTATTGTTTATTGACCTGTTTTGACCATTATGCCTTAAAATCTGTTTAATTTGCCATTGATTAGTAGCTTTTTACTTTAACATTGATGGGTTTATTATCTTACTATTTTTCAGCTGCCCCACTTTTCTATTTCTTTCCTCTCTTCTGTTAGATTTCTTTTGTTTCAGTTTTACTTTCTATTTTCTTAGAAATTATGGATCCTCTTGTTTTAGTGATAACTAGAATTTTTAGCACAAATGCTTATTTATACTTACACCTAAATCTTTGCCTTCCTACTGAACAGTTAAAAGATCATAGAGTACTTAGATTTCAATAATTTTGCCAAGCATGATTCTCTCTCTCTCCTCTCTCTCTCTCTCTCTCTCTCTCTCTCTCTCTCTCTCCCCCCCTCTCTCCCTCTCTCTCCCTCCCTCCCTCTCTTCTGCCCTTCCTCCCTCCCTCCTCTCATCTTTCTGTCTTTTTTGAGGCAGAGTCTCCCTGTAGCCCCAGCTGGTGTGGAACTTGCTATGCAGACCAGGCTGGCTTGGAACTCACAGAGATCCACCTGCCTCTGCTTCTTGAGTGCTGGGACTAAAGGCATGTGCCACCACGCCCAGCAACCAAGCATGATTTTCATATTCTGTCTTATTTTTAATTCCTCAAAGACATAATTATTACCATTAATATGTTCCTTACATGTCAGTGTTTTAGAATTATCCCAGATGTTTCTCTGTCTTACTACATTTCTTATATTTCTAATCTTTCTAGAATCAGAAATTTATTTTTAAAATTTTGCTTTAATTAGGGACTTCTAGTGGAACACCGGGTTTTATACAAAAATGTTGTTTTGCTCTGGGTCTTGAAAGATGTATTTGCTGGATATAAGATTCTGTACACTGGCAGGCCTTTTCTCAGCATATACAAAGTGCCATTGTTTTCTGATGGGAATCTATGTTAGTTTTTGATAGTAATCATACTCTTTCTTGAGATGCCTTTACAATTATTATTGTTTCGGTGGTTTATGTTTTTACATCATAGATTTAATTTTCTTTGTACTTAGTACGCTCCTTAAGTCATGGTTTGTTATCTTTTATCACTTCTGGGACATTCATATTGTCTCTTCAGATATTGCCACTGGCCCATCTTTCCAGAATTCTTTTTTTTTTTTAATTTATACATATGTGTGTGCCTGGTTGTCTGTATGTGTACCATGTGTACACAGTACCTGTGGGTGCCAGATCACTAGAAACTGAGTGACAGATAGTTGTGACCATGTGGGTTTTGGGAACAGAGCCCCAGGTCTTTGCCAGAACAGCAAGTGCTTTTAACCACTGAGCCATCTCTCTAGCCCCCCTTTTCAGGACTCTTAGTAGGTGGATACCTGTCTTTCTGAGTCATCCATGCCTTTTATTAGCATTCATATTTTTCTTTTAATGTTTATTTATCATGTTATGTGCTTACACATCACATAGTGCTTGTGTGGAAGTCAAGACTATTTGTGAAAGTTGGTTCTCCTACCATGTGGGTTCTGGCAGTCAAACTCAGGTTGTTGGGCTTGGTGACAGGACCTTTTCCTTCCCTAACCATCTTGCTGCCCCCTATCATATTTTTCATGTTCATGATTTTGCTTTATATGTTTCTGCTTGTTCATTTGTTTTGTTTGTTGAGACAGGGTCTTACTATGTAGCTCAAGCTAGAACTTCGCAATCTTCCTGTCTCAGCCTCCGAGGTGATGGAATTACAGGTGTGCACCACTGCGCCTGGCTCCTGCTAGTTCTTGGGGTGTCTGTCTGTCTGTCTGTCTGCCTTTCTTTCTAGTCATCTGCTCCTGTCTCTGAACTTTATTTCTGTTGAGGAAAAGAAAAATTCCTAGGCCAGGCATGGTGGCGCACACCTTTGATCCCAGCACTTGTAGGCAGAGGCAGGCAGATCTCTGAGTTCAAGGCCAGCCTGGTCTACACAGTGAGCTCAAAGCTGCCTGGGGCTACAGGAAGACCCTGTCTCAAAAACAAACAAACAAACAAACAAAAAACACCCAGATAGATAGGTAGGTAGGTAGGTAGATAGATAGATGGTAGATAAATAGATAGTAGATAGATAGATAGATAGATAGATAGATAGATAGATAGATAGATAGATAGATAGATAGATAGAAATAATTCCTATAGAAAGAATTTTTACCAATTTCTGTCATACTATTGATTATTCTCAATCTAGCATCAAAATATATTGAATTCTTAGCTTGATGGTTTTTGCAACTTTTAGATAATTGGGCAGATTTAAATTTGTTTGAGGCTGGCTTGTGATTAGCAACTTCTTTAGAAAAGGCTTTTGGTTTCACGATTCAGGCTGTAGTTTGAAGCAGTTTTGCCTTGCTGTCCTTTGTATTAGTGGTCATGAAGAATGTCCTGTGTACCCTTGTGATGAGAGTGTTCTTCTTTGGGGATGATTTACTATCATACTCTCTGTGTTGGGTAGCTCTCAGGTTTTCCTTTGAACCCTGGAGATCATGAAAATAAATCTTCAGGGTCACCTGGCTGGGCAAATGTCATCAAGGTCAAGTCAGTATCATTTCCTACTCTAGGTTCCCACGTACACTAATTTTGGCCAGAATTCTACTTTCATGCTAACTAGTAAATGCATTTATGAAGGTTATATATCCAGTTTTCCACAGTACAAAGTTCAGGAAGGGGACTTTATAGTCTGGTGGAAATGAGAGTTCGAAATCACTTTTTTAAAAAAAAGTCCTGGGGCTGGAGAGATGGTTCAGCAGTTAAAAACACTGGCTGTTCTTACAGAAGACCCAGGTTTGAATTCCAGAACCCACATGGCAACTAAGAGCTGCCTGTAACTCCAGTTCTAGAGGATTTGATGCCTTCTTCTGACTTCTGTGGGCATTGCATGATATGGATGCACTTACACACATGCAGGCAATACATGCATACACATAAAATAAAAAATAATAAATAAAATATTTTTTTTAAAAGTCCTAAAGTCTGAGGACTAGAGAGATGGTTCAACAGTTCAGAACACTGATTGTTCTTGCAGAAGACCTAGGTTCGAATCCCAGCACCCACATGGCAGCTAACAACTGTCCGTAACTACAGTCCCAGGGAATCCAGTAACCTCTTCTGACCTCCGCAGGCATTGCACGACACAGGTACACTTACCTACATGCAGGCAATACATGCATACACATAAAACAAAAAAATTTAAAAAAAGTCCTAAAGTCTTACCACTTGAATAATTTGACTACCCTATAATCTATATGTGTAGTATTTGCAAATTTTTGTCATTAGCCATATACATACCAACAATTTATCTTTGTATGCATTACCGATTCCCTGTAAAGAAAATGAATGAATAGATTGGCATCGTGGTGCAACTATACTTTCTAAAAGCAAGAAATGAGTAAATAACCTTTCAGATTCTAGGTCGCTTAATGTTGCCTTGGAGCCATGTAATACAGTTCCCTCTGAATTCAGAATGGAGTGCATGGTGAAAAGTCCACGGTTTACCCTTTTGGGTAGATGAGTGTTTATTCTTGGAAATGCTTATGCAAAAGCCTGCTTTCATTCTTGCATTTTCCAAATGGGGAAATTTTAAGAGTTTACTATTAATACATTTACTATACTAACTCATTTTGAACTGTAGTCACTGCATGTGATTAGAGAATATGATTAAAGGATAAATAACCCTAGTTATTCAATTGTTTCAATTTTAACAATTTTGATAATTTTGAATGTTAACTAAATAACTGAAATGACCAGTTGTGTTTCACATTACTAATAAAAAGCCAAGTTTTCCTTCTTGGGAGGGGTCCAAAATATCAAAAGAAATGAAAATTATAGTAATAATTCTTACAGCTTTGGTACAAGAAAAATGACAGAAATTTTATTTCTAAATCAATGCATGTGTTTTCAATATAAAAGCTCTTCTTATTCCTTAATTAGGTTCAGAACTTCTGGAAATCTTATAATCACTCGTGAAATTGATGTGATAAGAAATCAGTCCTTTTGGTTCATCAACAAAAAACCTGTAGCCCAGAAAATAGTAGAAGAACAAGTTGCAGCCTTAAATATTCAAGTGGGTAATCTCTGCCAGTTTCTACCTCAGGTATGAAAGAAATAAAAGTAAAAATGGCTTTTTTCTGGGATTTTGTTTTTTACTTTATTTTTTTTGAATGGAGTGTGCTAGATGTCTCCAGAATTTTGTTCAAATGACTGCAGAACCTGGAAAAGCTGTTGCTGCTATTGATGCATCACATACTTCTGTTACCGGTATATATATATAATTTGAATTTTTTGAAAACTTTAGCTGTGCTGTCAGCTTTGGAAAAAAGTATCCCAGTTTACTGTGTTGAGTTGGCATTGTACAGAAATTAACAGCCATATTGGTCTAGAAACGTTAAACTTAATTTTTTTCCATTCGTACAGGGGTAACGCACTGTATTAAATATGTAAGGTCTTAGCTACATGGGTTTGATTACAGAAACTAATAAAGTATTCTCTAAATAATAAAAAAAAGTAAAAATGGAAAAATTTTGTATATGGTGTTTCTGCTTCATGCTGTAAAATGTAAATACTTTTCAGGATGCAGTGTAATAGTTACTATGTACATTGAACACAGCACTCTTAGTACTTGTAGTTCTTTGTAAAAAGAAGCATTCCCTCGCTCATGTTGCTAATTTTAGTTAAGAAATATGTAGTTATTGCTGTTTATATTGATAACAGCTCTCTTACTGCTTATAGTTTTTATGGGCAAAGTGGCACATACCTGTAATTCCAGTGCTTGGGAGGCTAGGCAGGAAGGTCTCTAGATTGAGGCCAGACTAGGCTACATAGTGAGTTCCAGGCCGACGTAGACCTCAGAACAAGACCCTGTGTCACAGATAAATAAATAAATAAAATAAGCTCAGTTTTATCAATTTCATTTAATGTTTAAGTTTTAAAATACTTTTAAAATAGTTTTTTTTTTTTTTTTTTTTTTTTTTTTTTTTTGCATGTCTATGTAGTGTACTTGGTATATGAGCACACATGTGGACATGTGTGGAAGGCCAAAGGTTGATATCGAACGCCTTCCTCACTTGCTTTCCACTTTATTTTACTGAGACTGGTTTCTTGCTGAACCTGGGGCTCACTGATTTGGCTAGCAGTTTTCCTGTCTCTGGTGCTGGTTACCATGCCCACCCATTTCAAGTAGGTACCTAGAGACCCAGACTCCCATTCATACTTGCACAGCAAACACTTCATCCATTGAGCCAACTCCTTGGTCCCTAAAAGGGTATTTATAAGTATAGAGTAGTTTCAGTACTTCACTTGTAAAACCTAGCACTTTTGTTAATGAATAACTTTCTAATCTTCTTAGAGTCTGTTAATATTTTTGATTTGTTTATTAAAAATAAAATACCTTGATAATCTCTGTGCAGTGTTATAGTCAAATATCTTTTAAGTTTGTCTTAATGCTGCTTCGTGACTAAGCCATAGTTCATTTTCTTCACAGACACGATGATGATTTGCTTAAATAAGCCCAAATGAAGTACAAGTTTGAAGGCTTTTTTTTGTTTATCTGCTTGTGTCAAACTGTTTCCAGAAGCAGATATTTGAAATTAAACCCTTTCTATTTTGTTTTGTTGTTGTTGTTAACTCTGAACATTCTAACTAGTAGGTGTTAGTGACCATTTTAGTCTGGAAGACTGTTGCCTTTTATTTCCAAACTGTTTATTATGTATATATAAACATTTCTGCCCGGGAATAGTGGCATATATATTTTTTAAGATTCAAAAAAATGATACTTTATGCCATAGTTTGTCTTTGATAAAAAGTAGTACATAAAAAGGTTTATGTGAAGACTCTTATCTCGACTTTTTTTAATGAGACCCATTGTGAAAAACTTAATGTATTTTAAAGGTATTTATAACTGATAATAGTTGTTGATACTTAATTTTTGTGCTCTAGGACAAAGTTGGGGAATTTGCTAAGCTCAGCAAAATTGAACTCCTTGAAGCTACTGAGAAGTCCATTGGTCCCCCAGAGATGCACAGGTATCACTGTGAACTCAAAAACTACAGGGAGAAAGAAAAGCAGTTGGAGGTATTACAGATAAACAACTTATTTTTGTCTTTTCATGATTTCTATGTCTCAAAATGTGGAGAAGTATTTCTGTGGATTGAGGAAATTCATACTTGTCACTGAATTTCTCACTTTATTATACTACTGACATTAAAGTGACAAAAAGTGAGAATGAATTTGATTATATGAAGTTTGAAATATTTGGCTATTTCAACATTTACAGTTTTAAGGAACTACTTACAGTCTTTTATTTCTTTTCTTCACAAGTTATATTTTCCTTTCAGTTGGTGCTTACTGAAAACCTATCCTGTGCCAGTGTATAAGGTTTTGAGTATTTTAGGAGATATGGCTGTGCTTAAAAACACTTCTGTTGAGTCCGTTGGGGTATTTTTTTTTTTCAATGATAGAAAGGTAGACTTTATAAAGGAGCTAGTTGAAGTGTTCATTTTTTTTTTTTACCTTAATAAATACATAAATAGCTAGGTGTAGTGGCAGAGGCCTTTAATCTCAGCACTCTGGAGGCAGAGGCAGGAATATCTCTGTGATCAAGGCCAGCCTGATCTACGTAAATGAGTTCCAGGCCAGCTGAGGCTACAGAATATATAGAAATGTCCTTTTCTAACATGCCGGTTTTTGTTTTTGTTTTGAGGCAACATCTCATTGCCTATCCTAGGCTGCTCTCCCAGACACTAGTTCTAGTGCTGCTTTGCCATTTTTACAGGCTATTGAGCTTTCATGTAGACAGATTGAGCAAAAATATCAAATGCTTCAAAATTCAAATCTTTTTGAATGTCATAAGGTGTTAACAGAGCTTCAGATTTTGGAGCATTTTGGATTTTCAGATTTTAGGTGCTCATCTGGTAGTAACATCCACGCACATATTCCAAAATCTGATAAATTTCAAAATTAGAAAGACTTCTAGCCTTTAACATTTCAAATAAGGCATACTTAATCTGTATTAAGTGAACTGCTTTACCTAAAGTCAGTGGAGCATCTTTTGTCTTTAGGCAAGAGTCCAGGCTCAGAGGTGTGACAGGTCTTCCTTACAGTTACATGACTAATATATTTTAGAGCTGAGTGTTGCTTTTACCTAGATCTTTTTCTATTTGTTCCTTTTAAAAAATTGTATTAATACTATTACGTGTCTGTATATGATAAGTATCTGGACATGTGTGGAAGTGAGAAGAAACTTTGTGGAGTCAGTTTTCTCCTTTCACCTTTACGTAGGCTGTAGGGATCAGATTGCCAGGCTTGTATAAAGCAAGTGCTTTACCAGCTGAGCTACTCCTTGGCCCTTGGTTTGTTTACTTTTCTTTTTTTTTTTTTTTTTTTTTTTTTTTAATGGTCTCCCTGTGTAGACTAGGCTGGCCTCGATCTCACAGAGATCCTCCTGCCTCTGCCTCCCAAGTGCTGGGATTAAAGGCATGTGCCAACATACCTTATATTTGCTTTTTGAGACAGGGTCTCATTTAGCTCAGGCTGATCTTGGACTCTATAGTGAAGATGACTGTGAACTTCTAAAGCTCTTGATACTACTTCCTCTGTGCTGAGATAACAGGTGTGTATCACTATTGGTTTTATGCAGTGCTAGAACTCAAATCCAGGGCTTCATACATACTTAAGCAAACATTCTACCAACTGAACTACATCTCCAGCCTCACTTTTATATAGTTCTGAAGAACTCTTGTGAAATTTTGCTTATATTGTGTTTTGTTGTTAAAAACTATGACCTGCTGTCTTTTCTCAGTTAAACTAATTGTCAACAAATACTTATTTTAGACTTCATGCAAAGAGAAAACTGAATACCTGGAGAAAATGGTTCAGAGAAATGTAAGATACAAACAAGATGTAGAGAGGTTCTATGAACGAAAACGACATTTGGATTTAATTGAGATGCTTGAAGCAAAAAGACCATGGGTGGTAAGTCTTGAGGCAAAAGTAGGTGATTCTTTAACAAAGTTAGGTACTGCTTTTTAATTTTTATTTTATATGTTAAACATAATTAAATTTGTATGTTTCTTACTCTTTATTAGATAGGTGTATGCTGATTATTATATAACAAATAGTTAAGTCAGTGCTCCTAATTCAGATTTTAGTCCTCAGCAGTTCCTTTTTTTTTTTATTTTTTAATGTTAATAGTGTAAAATTTTTATTAGTGTAAAGAATTAAGTCTTTGGGGCTGGGGCTGTTGTTCAGTGGTAGAGGCTTACCTAGTGTGCTTGATATCCTGGATTCAATCCTCAGTACCACTAAAAAATACTTGTATGTATATATCCTCAGTCAGGTTCACTAAGAACTGACTTAGAGTATGCCAAGTATAGTGTTCTCATGTTTCATAGCTATATTCTATCCATTTACAGTTAGGTGCATATTTCATTACTCAACACCAGTCTGGGATATTTAATTCACTCTGTATATTACTTAATAGGTGGAAAAATAGTTTCATAGTGTTTGTTCTAACTTTACAAAGGAAATAGTTTGAAAACAATGTATGACTGTATTTATGACATTCATACTTCTTCTAGCCAGATTTTGTAATTCCTCTTCTTCCTTTCTTTACCTCTTTTTAATTGCATTTTCCTATATTATTATTATTCCACTTTACTTCGAAGTCTTGGTTTCTTGTGTTTTAAAGGATTGATTTCAGTCTTTTACATGTTTCTTTAAAAAATTTACTCTAATATTTGTGGGTTGTTTTTTTTTAATTTTATGTGTATGAGTGTATTACCTGCATGTATGTAAGTGCACCCATCTTATGCAGTGTCGCGGAGGTCAGAAGAGGTTGTTGGATCCCCTGGGATGGAGTTACGGATGGTTGTTAGCTGCCATGTGGGTGCTGGGATTCAAACCTGGGTCTTCTGCAAGAACAACCGGTGTTCTTAACCACTGAGCCATCTCTCCAGCCCCCTATTTGGGGGGGGGGGTTTCTTTGTTTTATTTTATTTTCTAAAGACTTTTAATTATGTGTATATGTGTGTATCTGTGAATGTGGGTTTGTGCATGTGAGTGCAGTGCCTAAGGAAGCCAGAAGAGGGCATCAGTTCTCTGGAGCTGGAATTACAGGCAGCTGTGAACTGCCCCACATGGGTCCTGGGAACCAAACTTGGGTCCTCTGGAAAAGCAGGAAGTGTTCTTACCCCAAGAGGAAATTAAAACTCTCATTATATACTGTTTATTCAGCAAATATTTTACTAATTCCCGTGGAATGATAGAAATTGTTTATTATTACTATTGCATTTATTTATTTTATCTTGTATATGTGTATGTATGCACGTATGTGCAAACCTTTGTACATTTATGGAGGTCAGAGAACAACTGTAGAAGTTGATTTTTCTCCTTTCATTGTGTGGGTCCCAGGAATCAATTTCTGGTCATCAGGCTTGACTGCAGGGTCCTTTACCTACTGAGCTGTATCGCTGCCCTAGACATTGTTTTTATTCAGCTATTAGCTACATATTTTTGTTTTCCTTTTAACACTTTTTTTTCATATTTGTATTTCGTAATTGAGTTTCTTTTGCTTCTTATTCCTAAATGTTTCTTTGTTGAGAGATTAAAAGAAAATCTCTGCTTGTAACTTGGACTTTAGTATATGTGTTCATTTGAATTACTTACTGGTTAACTTCTACTGATTGAATTTTTTTACAAGGAATATGAGAATGTACGTCAGGAATATGAAGGTGTAAAATTGATTCGTGATCGAGTGAAGGAAGAAGTCCGTAAACTTAAAGAAGGGCAGATTCCTATGACACGTCGAATTGAGGAAATTGAAAGGCAGCGTCATCATTTGGAGGCTCGAATCAAAGAAAAGGTACTTTTCTTGTTCAGTTTTGGTTTATCTGAATTTTATTTTAGTAAATAGAAAAAATATTTTGCATGTCTTTTCAAAAATATTTTCTAGGGCTCACTTCCAGCTTTTATTCTTCAAGTTCTTTAGGGATGTAGGATGCTCAAGGGCTTAACTGTTAGGGTTGGAGAGAACTGTTACCTTAAAGAAATTCCAGGGTATAAAATGTTGACATGATGAGTGGCTCGGGTCTATATCCTATCACTTGGGAGACTGAGGTGAAAAGATCACTAAGTTTGAGGTCAGCCTAGACTACATAGTAGTTTGAGGTCAGCCTGGACTACAGTACCAGACTGAGTCTAAAATTTAAAAAAAAAAAAAAGAAAAATAGATGCTTGTTTTAATTACAGATTGATTGATAAATATCCCTTAGAAACACTAAACTCCTTTTATGGATTGATTGTGTATTTTTAATAATTACATTCCCTTTTAGAGGAGGATGATACAGAAAACCTGATATTTCATAAGATAAATAATAGACTTGTTCCTTGCATTTTAAACATATAACTTTAAATTGTTTATGGTCATGACATTTAGCCTTCAGAAATACTTGGGTTCAGAGGTTATTTTGAGAATGGCTAAAATGCCTGCTTATAGAATACGGTTAGCTGAGGGCAGTGTGTTCAAGATTCCTCAGTGGATACTTGAAACTTAATATCGAACCCTGTGCAGTTTGAGTATGCATTGTGCAAAATGCGTAGGACCAAAAGTGTTTCATATTTCAGAATTTGGGAGATTTACAATGTTTGCATAGCCCTCACAGTCTGAAAATCCAAAATCTGAAATTCTTGAACAAAACATTTCAAATTTTGAAGCATTTTTGATTCCAGATTTTCAGATTTGGGATGCCCAACCTGTTTTTGTTTATTTTTCCCTGTATATACATTAATTTGTTTGATAAATTTTGACTTTACTTTTAAAGGAAGTACATCATGATTCTTCTTTGGTGTGTCTGAATTACCAATGTGATCACTTTTTTTTTTTTGCTTTGGGGCCATTACTAAGTAAAATAGTGGTTATTTGACTAGGAGCACTATAGTACTGTACATGTGATCCTGCTAAGTGGTTTGTGAATAGGAATCTCACATGTGGATATGCTGCACATAGGATGATTCTTGTCAGGGACAGGACAGAGCAGGACAGTATGAGATTTCAGAATATTGTTCAGAATGGTGTACATTGAAACTTACCTACAGATAGTTTTAATCCTGGAATTTCCATTTAATATTTTTGGTCTGCAGTTGACCATAGGTAGCCTTGACAGAATGCAAAACCATGGGTAAAGGGTATCTACTGTAACACAATATAAGCACATACAAAATTTTGCATGAGATTTTTGGAGATTCATAATGCAATGAAGTCAAAGTATTGACCTCTACTTAGGAACATCTGATGTAAATTAGGTGGCTCAAATAATTTATCATTACTATGGATCATTCAGAATTTTAAAGCTAAAAGATTATACATTTAGTTTTCTAGACAAGTCTCCTCATTTCAGAGTTAAGGATAGTAAATCACAAAGATGACTTTACATATATTATTGTTGGCAATTGTGTTATTATATAATTGGTTATAGTTAGTCTGTGGATTTATTGTTGCTTTATGGCTCCTGAATCTACTGTAAATCTACCTTTTAAATTTTTATTTCTTATGTAGAGGAAAAATATCTACAATAAATTTCATATCACTTAATTAAGGAGTCATGTATAAAACACTTGTGTATCTGTTTGTAACAAAAGCCAGCTGTTAAGGCATTCTCAAAAAACTGTGTGTGTCTATATTTATGTGGGAATCTATATAAGATATTTGAGAATTGGTTTCCTCAAGAAGTTCTTGTGAATTATGAAGTGGTGCATTTTATCAGTCTGTATATATTTTAAAGCTATTAGTCCTCAAAGACATGCAACAGGAATACAGTGGTTAATTTTGTTTGCATTGATCCTACGCTTGTTCCTCTCTTTCTGTTCCAGCAGAAAACCCTTTCTAACACTTCTCATTATTGTTTTAACATTCCAGGAGGCAATTCAATGTTACAGATAGAGACCACAGGTTTTGAATGAATACAAATCTAAATTTGGAATGCTCACAGTGCCATATAATAATTGCCCTGGTTTTGTTTTGTTCATTTATAGTAGAACAGTAATATCTGCTCAGAGTATCTCATCAGATTGTTTTCAAGATCAGATAAAACTATCTCAGGAAAACAAACAATGTAGAGACAAACATGCATGTGTATTACTGTAGCAAATTTTGAGTATTGAAAAAAAAATAACCTTTTAGAGACTTTTCTATGCCATTGTTGTTTTGGGTAATAATTTTGAATTTTGTGTGAATTAAAATGTGGGAAAGTATTGTTGCTGATTAATTCATATGATATATTAATGGACTATATACTTGGCTTAATTAAGTTTAACTTTCCTCTCTGTGATTCAATCTTACAGGCAATGGATATTAAGGAAGCATCTCAAAAATGCAAACAAAAGCAAGATTTTATAGAAAGGAAGGATAAACATGTAAGATTTCATACCAGATTTTTTACCTCTTTAATCTGCCTTTAGTTTTCAGATAATGGAGTTTGTTGTTGTTTAGGAATTGCACAAGATTCTTCCTTGGGCACTATTAGTTTTCCTCACAGGGGAGCTTAGTTTCCCTAAGATTTGTAAACACAGTAGCTGCACAGAAAATAATTGGGGAAATTCTACAAAGTTACTTGTCTGTCTACATCTCACATGTTTTATGTTTTTGATTTTAGTTAAGATTTTATAATTTTTATTTTAATTGTTTTCATCCAATTAAAGTCACTTAGAAGTTCTATTTTAGTTTCTGCAGATAAAGATTATTTTCAGGGATAGGAATACTAGAAATTGAACACAGGGTCCTTATGTTATAGTGGCTCTGGGTCTCAAGCAAATGACCACACAATCCATAGCATTTAGGCATGGCAGAAGTTGTACTTCTGGAGAAGAGTATGTGCCCATGCCAAATGAAGCAGGTAAGCATGCTGGGTACTTATTCCAAATGCGAAAGGGTTGTGTGCCTCATTCTGGGTGTCAGAACTTGACCTTACATTCTTACTCGATGGGCTGACTTAAAGCAATGCAGTTGATAAGCAGAATGCAGTTTTCAGCACCAAATATAACCATAAGCATGTATTTTGATTTCAAGAAGTACTGACCTTGGAGGAATTTGAATTTCTGCCAAGTAGGTTTCTTTGCAGTTTTCTTACCTGAAATTTTGTCTTAGTTGACCCTTTTGTAGATAAGACAGTACATTTCTTTTATATGTCCCACACTTGCTACACCTCTAGCTTCTCAGATACAAAATTTTAGACTGCCATGGTTGTTTCCTACCACAAAGAATACTAGTTGTGTGTTAAAGTTAATAAATGTAGCCATTATGCTAGAATTTTTTTGAATTTATAAATTGTATTTTATTATTTTGTGGGTATATGTGAGTGTTGTGTATACCACAACGCATGTGTAGAGGTCAGAGGACAAGTTGTGGGTGTTAGTTCTCTACTTCTACCATGTGGGTCCTCAGGCTTGGCAGCAAGTACCTTTACCTGCTCAGCCATCTATGGACCCTTGAATCCTATTTTCAATTCATTCTCCTAATCCCTTTCACTTGATTATTGAATTAACACCATTATATTTAGAGTTTTAATTAAAAACTCTGTATTAGCCAGGCATGGTGACACGCCCCTTTAATCCCAGCCATGGGGAGATCAGGCCAGCCTAGTCCACATAGTAACTTCCACATGGGCTGGAACTAGGGAGACCCCGTCAAAAAAAAAAAAAAAAAAAAAAAAGCCCTGTATTAATTACCGTCATTCACTGGTTTGATTTTATGCATTTGGTGTTCTCCTGTTACTCATTTGTATAACTACTGTTCTAGTATAGTATATTCTTTCCTGTTAGCATCATGGATGTTTGTCTTTCTCTCCAGTCTGAAGGATTCCTTCAAGTACCTTCTGTAGAGCTTGTTTAGTGAACATAAATTATTTTAGCCTGTTTTTTTCATGGAAAGTTTGTCTTTTTCCTTCAATTATGACAGTTTTTGCTGTTTGTAGTAGTCTGGGTTGACAGATGTCTTTCAGTGTTTGAAATACATCATTTCAAGCCTCCCAGCATTTAAAGTTTCTGTTGGAAAACATGCTGTAATTGTAGTGGACTTACCTTTATATGAGAGAAACTTGTTTTTTTTCCCTTGCAGCTTTTGATATACTTTCTCTGTGTCTTCTATACCTAGATGGGTATCTGTACCTAGATTTGGGATGTTTTCTGCTATGATTTTATTAGAAATGTTTTCTCTGCCTTTAGCATGAAATTCTTCTCCTTCTATGCTTATGAATTTAGATTTGATTTTTCTTCTAAGTGTCCCATAGATCTCAAGTACTCTGTGTGGACCCTCCTTTTTATCTTTTCATTGTCTGTAGATTTCAATTCCTCTGCCTTTAACTCCTGATACTGTTTTCCTCTGATCATCATATTGGAAAGCGTTTCCATGGAGGCTTTTAGTTATCAGAGGACAACTTGTGGGAATTCGTTCTCTCCTTCCACTGTGTGGGACATAGAAATCAAATTCAGGTCTTCGGGCTTGCTGGCAGGTGCTTTTACTTGCTGAGCCATCTTACTAGCCCAGCCCCTTGAGGAAGATCCTATTGAGAATCTTGTACATAATGAGTCACGTTTTTTTCTTGAACTCACTATATTCTCTTAACTTTGAATCCTCCTGCCTCCACCTCCCAAATGCTAGAGTTATAGGCCTTCACCACCACTCTGGGATTATGGAGTACTGAGGCTAGAGCCCAGGACTTTGTGCATACTAGGCAAGTACTCTACCAATTGAGAGCTGTATACCCCAGCCTCCTGTCTTCAGTTTTTGTTGTTGTTGTTGTTGTTGTTGTTTTTTTTTTTTAATGTATGAGTGTATTGCTTGCATGTAAGCGAGTGCACCCGTGTCATACAGTGCTGAGGAGGTCAGAAGAGGGCTCCGGATTCCCCTGGAACTGGAGTTAAAGACGATTTGCAGCTGCCATGTGGGTGCTTGGAATCGAACCCGGGTCCTCTGCAAGAGCAGGCAGTGTTCTTAACCGCTGAGCCATCTCTACAGCCCCCGTCTTCAGTTTTCAACAACTGAACAGACACAGTACTTCTTTAAATGCCTGGAACCATTATGTCTCCCAGTCTGTGGAGAGAGTGGGTGTGTAGGGTATGCCCTCTGCACTCAATTCAACCATGTTCTAACTTTTCACTGAAATCTGATCATTTTAAGAAAATAGATATTCCGTAGAGTGTTAGAAATTTTGGTTAATTCCCGCTCTAAATTATATGTCTGTTCAGCTTTCATTTGCTATTTACATGCAGCCTCAAAGTGAAACAGGTGAGAGCTCACACAGCTTTAGATATGCCCAGTCCTATTTTTACTGATGCCTTTCTGTATTCCTAGGAGTTTCCAGAACCTTGAATGAACATCTCATTCTTCAGTTTCTCTTTTTCGGCGGGGCTTTTTGAGACAGGGTCTCCCTGTAGCACTAGCTGGCTTGGATTCGCTATGGAGACCAGGCTGGCCTTGAACTCAGAGATCCACCTGCCTCTGCCTCTGAGTGCTGGGATTAAAGGTGTGTGCCACCACACCTGGCCAGTTTCTCTTTTTAAGATTTCTATGTAACTTGTTGCATGCAGCAGCTGTTATTCTGATCCCTATTCAGGCATCTGTGATAGTAAATACTGCTGATTGTTTCTGACAGATACATTCAGAAACGAATTATTTTGCAGTGATTAAGCTGTGAGTTCGATCAAATAAAGAAAAAACCTTACAATGCCATTTTCTAGGAAATTGCCTACAATCCAGATAATGACATCCCCAAATTGCTAAACTGCTAGTTTTCACTATAGTTGTAAATGTTTCTGAGGAGATGGCATAAGTGGAGAGAGGGTCTGGGAATAGGGCATATTTAGAATTGTTCAAAGTGGTTTGGTTTGGTTTAGGTGGGTAGTAAACATTTCTGAGTTTGCTGTAAACAGGGGAAAAAAGGTGAATTTTGACGATTTTTGTCTTGTTCATTGGTTTCTTTTATTAGAGGAGAGAATTTTAGAGTTCCTCATTTTACTATTTCTGATGAAATGCAAATCTTTTCTGCAGTTACAGAAAAATGTTGCTGGGATTTTAATTAGAATTGTTTTAAACCTTTGGGGAGAATTGAAAATTTTACTGTCGGATCTTCCAGTCTAGGAACACGTGGCCACTTAATTAGATTTCCTTTTTGGCATTGTGCAGTTTTCATCATACATGCTGTCCACACGTTGTTTGGTTTAAACGTAACCTATCTGTCCTCTCCTCCCCACCCAGATTCCATGAGATTTTGTGTATCATGTCATATGAATAGGGATAGCCTTGTTTTTTCCTTTCTGGTTTGAATGTATGTAGTTTCCTTTCCATGTCTTACTACACCAGTTAGTACTTCTAGCACTGTGTTGAATAAGAGTGTTGAACATAAACTCATTCATGATCTTAGAAAGCATTGAATTTTCACCATTAAATACATATGTTGTAGACTTTTTATAGATGGTGATCTTTATCAGATTCAGGAAGTTCCTATACAGATACCTTGGTTTCTGAGAATTTTTATCATGAATGGATGTTCAATTTTGTCAAATGTTCTCCTGTATCGCTTGGTATGATTATGTAATTTTCTTCTCCAGTCTGTTGATATAATGGATTATATTAGCCTTTTTTTGAATAATAAATCTACCTTACTTCTTTGTAATAAACCCCATTTGGTTGTGGTGGGTGTATAAGTGTACACTTCTTTTCCACATGTGAATGAGTTCTGTTAACATTTTGTTAATGGGTTTTTGCTTCTCTGTTCATGAGAGGTAGTGTTCTTTTCTTCTCAGTGTGTGTTGTTTTAGTATTAGGATAGTATCTAACATCTTAAAGTGAGTTGGGAAGTTCTTTTTTGGAAGAACCTGTGTGGGGACTGGTGTTAATTCCTCTTTAACCATTTTGTGTAATGCTGAAGTGAAACTATTTGAACCTAAAGTTTTTTTGTGTGTATTTTTCTGTGTGTGTATGTGCAAGCATGTAGGTATGTTGTGTGAGCACTCACATCCCATGTGTACTTGGGAAAGTCAGAGGACACTTGGTGGGAGTTGGTTCTCTTTCTACCGTATGGATTCCAGGATTCTAACTCAGGTTATCAGGCTTACTTACAAACTCCTTTACCTGCTGAGCCATCTTACTGGCCCCCTGGAGACTTCTTTTGGAGGTGCTTAAAATTGTGAGTTTGCCAGGGCTTGGTGGTATACCCTTTATCCCAGTGTTCAGGAGGCAGAGGCAGACAGATCTCTGTGAGATCAAGGCCAGCCTGGTCTATTTAGCAAATTCCAGGCCAACTGGGGCTACAAAAAGACTGTCAAAAAAGAAAAATTTAAATAAATAGTGAGTTTAATTTCCCGAACATTGCTTTAGAGTTGTTCAAATTATCTCTTTCATATTCTTACAAATTATG